AAAACTGGTTCTGAGTTGCAACATTTTGACTTAAGACTGCAGTTTTCAGGAACCAATTGTGTCGCAAGTCTCAGGACTGCCTGTTTTCGGAAAGTGGGCAGATCAGAATAGGATGTAATTTAACAAAGATAAGTGCAAAGTGCTGCATCTAGGGAAAAAGAATCACCAACTCACCTACAGACTGGGAGGTGACGTTCGAAGCAGCACAGCAGCAGATAGGGATCTCAGAGTCATAGTTGACTCCAAAATGAACATGAGTCGTCAATGTGACGAAGTGATAAGTAAAGCCAACCGCACTCTTTCATGCATTAGAAGGTACATCATGAACAGGTCTAAGGAGGTTATACTTCCCCCTCTATGCAGCATTGGTAAGACTGCAGCTGGAGTACTGCGTCCAGTTCTGGGCACCACACTTCAAGAGAGATATGGATAACCTTGAGAAGGTCCATTGGAGGGCTACTCATATGGTTAAGGGCCTGCAGGTAAGATCCTATGAGGAGAGATTGAGGGACCCTAAACATCTATGAAGGTGGCCTGCGTGGAGAGATACTTACAACAGGCCACATGCCAATGAATATTAGTGGGGCTCAGAGAAGGTTAAGAGTCTTCACCCAGGTAAACAACTTGAATAACTGTGACCCTAATACTGTACATGATGGAGAATGCAATTTTACACTATATAAGCAGCACTTTTCCCTTTTACACATGCAGGAGAGAGACTGATCTCCTGTATACCATCAACTGCCCAGACTTAGAAGCCAACACAAAGAAAAAGCATAATGAAAAGGGGTTAACAAAGAGAAAAAGTCTGCTTATTTGGTTCTTCCAAAGCTTCCTCCAAGGAAACCTAAAATATTACAGCAGTTTTCCTGAAGAAGCCATCTAAAATAATTGGGTTGACAGACAAAAATAAGCAAAAAAGAAAACAAAATAAATCAAGTATCAGTCCTTTAGAATTCCCACAGTAATCTTTGTAATTCTACAGTTTACTTATCTCCAGAGATCTGGGTTTTCTGTTTCCCATGGAAAAATGGAAAAAACATGGATTTTCCCGTTTAACCAAGAAAAATGCAGATTTTTCATTTGAACAGAGAAACACGCAGATTTTCCACTTTTGCAAAGAGCTGTCTGCAGGCTGGCAGAATTCCAGTCTGCAAGGGCCCGGGGGGAATGGGAGAAGGGTGGTCAGGCAGGGGATACCATACGCATGTGTGTGCTCACATGGCCGCCAGACAGCCTGGAGAGCAGCTCCCACCAGTAAGTCTGGTGGGGGAGAGAAGGGATTGATTCAGAGAGGAAGGAAGGAATTCAGAGAGTTGGGCAGGGCTGGGGCTGCTGCCCAGCTGGGGCAGTACATGGGACTTGGGGCCCAAGACTGGAATGCGCAGCCGCCAGGCCCTGGCGGAGTGTGGGACGGAGCCATGCATGGTTTGTCCAGGAGGTGAAGGGGGATGGGGCTGGCTCCCCACCACTGCACACACTCCCAGGAGGGGCACGGGGGGCACATGCCCCCCAGATCTCTATGCAGGGTGGGGCTGTCTGTGGGTTGCCTGTTGTGGGATCAGTTTCCCTACCCTGCTGCCCTCCCCCCATGGCCTCTGCAGCCCAGCAGGTGGGACCTGGCACAGCAGGGCAGAGTGGGGCTGGGTAGGGAAGCTCCTTGCTGCTGCAAACCCCATGCTGCCCTAGCAAACCTCCCCCTGCCCACCCAAAAGCAGGGGTGGTAGCACAGATTTGCGTACCTCACTGCTGCCGGCTGGGCAGGGGGCGCCTTACCAGGGTGGCGCAGAGTTCCTAACAGCAGCAATGAGCTTCCCTGTCCTGTTCTGGCCTTCCCAGCCAGGTCCCACCCACTGGGCCATGGAGGCCCTGGGAAAAGAGCAGCATGGCTGGGAGCTCTAAGCCTGCAGCAGGCAGCTTGCATCCATTCCCACACCCACAGGGCTCCACTCTGGCCAATGCACTCTGGTCTGCTGCAGCAGCTGTTGCCTCCTATGGGCGGCAGCCAGGGCTTTGGCACTGCTGCAGGGTGGGGGGAGTGGGGGTGTGCAGGGGGTGCCCCCTCTAGCAGGGCTGGTAGGGGGCAGTGGGCTGCAGGTGGGAAGTAAGGGGCATTGGCAGGGCTGTGGGGCTGTGGCTTGGGAGTGAGGGACCTAGACCTGCGTCCTGGTGAGCGAAGGGGACGGGGGAGCTCAGATTTTCATGATAAAAAACCCAGTATCAAATGCCAAAATAAACAGGTATTTAGAATTGATTTAATTATAGCGACTGAGGCACTGGTAGGCTTCCAACTGCTCTAAAATTGTAAATATATCAATAAAACATTGCCTTCAATTGGTACCTATACATAGAGTGGTGTTTCATTTTAATTGTTGATTTGGGGTTTTTTAATCAGAGAATCTGCAATTTTTATCAGAGAATTTGCAATTTTTAAACAGAGGAAGCCAGGATCCCTGTTTATCTCTCTTTCAAGCATCACAACACACATGAATTCTGGTTGCATGTTAATACTTTAATGAGGGAGCATGGAACCATTAAGAATGTCTAGAACACACCTGATTCCCATGCTCCATGCAAGTAGATTCCAATAATTTCAGAGGGAAAGGAAGCAGGTCACAGTAAGTCAAATTTAAGTGTTCCCATTCATTCACTAGTGCCTTAACTGTGGCTGAAAATATTCTGTGCAGCTGCATACAAGTTAGTTGCAATCACTAACTGCAAATGGTGGGTCAGAGAAAGAGAAAAAGAAAGAGAAATAGAAAATTACCCAGATGTTCAGGATTCTGCACTGATTTTGCTGTTACTAACAATTTACTGAGAGCCTTGAACAGATACTTGCCGCAAATACATAAGTTTTTAAAAGATACAGGATACAGAAAGCAAGGACGGCACAGCTAGAGTTTAAGATCCTTGTTTATCTTTTAAAAAAAATGTTCACTGCAATTCTAAAACAACTCCAGTTCTTTGCCAATTTAAAACTTTTCTTTACTATTTCCTTCTTGTTTTATTAAGTTTGTTTTTGGGGTGATCCTGTTGCCAATTAAATATACAGAACATCTGTATACAAAAAACAAACAAAAAACCCTCAAAAACATACCTTTGTGTTTCTGACTTTTGCCACTTTGTTATCAACTTCTACAATTATTCTTCCCTCTTCTGCATTCTCTCTAAAAATAAAAAATGCAAAGGAAAAAAAAATTTACATATGAAAACACTCAGAAAGTACATTTTTTAAAATGAATACTGGAGATTTCTGTTAATTATTAGGTTTGGAGTTATATTGTCTACTACAATAAACTGCAACTTATATGAATAAGTCTAATACAGACAAATAATCCTCTGTAAAAAGAACACTCCAGGGCAACAAGAAATATTTGAAAACTTATGGTCAAGCATCTCAGCAGAAACTGGAACATAGAGCACCACCAGATTTAATCACCAAGCTAATGCAAAAGTTTCACACATTGATCTTAAGAGCCATGTTTTTAAATGTATTTAATTTCTGATTCTGAAAGAAAAAAAAAAATCAGGCTTACAAAAATGGATGGCACCAAAAAGTGTAGTAAAGTATTAATACATTGATAAGGCTTATGGTTCGGCTTTCCATACATCAGACAGTCTTGTAATTAGGGACCTATCAAAATCAAGGAGGCAGGCAGCCAATTTCACGGGCCAATTGTAGGGCCAGCCATTTTCATGGGCTTATTGCAGTGGTCCGCCCCCCACTGCCTCCAGTTGACCAAGGGGCTCCAACGGTCCCACCCCTTGCCACTGATTGGCTGAGAGAGCTGCCCATCATGCAGCCCGGCTCCTTGCCACTGATTGGCTGAGGGCTGTCCGTTGTGCGGCCCCACTCCTTGCCACTGGTTGATGGAGAGAGGTGGGGCTGCATGATCGGCAGCCTCTCAGCCAGTCAGTGGTGAGAGATGGCAGGGTCTCCCCTTCATACTGGCAGCTCCTTCCCCTACCCCTGGCTGGCTACAAGGCTGGGCCACAGCAGCCATGAAGACTGCTAGCTTCCAGTGGGTAACCAGCATTTTATTTTTGTTTGTTTTTTTTAATTTTGTAGGTTTCATAGACATTCCCCAATTTCATGGACATTGCCTGATTTTGTGGTTTCTGTGAAATCCATGAAATCACAAATACATTAGGTCCCTACTTATAATATTTGAGCCAACGCTATTCAGAGAGGCTGTGCTACATGAACCGTACCCCATAGTTCCAAGAGACAGTTATGACCAAAAAATTCTTATCAATACACTTTTGGACTCGTTTTAAAGGAGTACAGTGCACCCCTAATGGCTAGGACCTGAGCAATGCTACTTCCAACTCATGGAAAATTCCCATTCACTCCAATGGGATACATACTTATGTATTGTTAGCTTCTGTCAGCCCATAAGTTTTTCATAGATTTCATAGACATTAGGGCTGGAAGGGACCTTGGAAGATCATCGAGTCCAGCCCCCTGCCCTAGGGGCAGAAAGTCAGCTGGGGTCATAGGATCCCAGCAAGATAAACATCCAATTTTCTCTTGAAAGCTTTCAAAGTAGGTGCTTGAACCACCTCCGATGGCAGGCTATTCCAGACCTTGGGGGCTCGGACAGTAAAGAAATTCATCCTTATGTCCAGCCTGAAATGGTCTTGCGAGAGTTTATAAACCATGAGACCTCGTCATCCCTTGGGGCACTCTGGTGAACAAATGTTCCCCCAGATCCTGGTGGACACCCTTTACAAACTTATAGGTTTCCATCAGATCGCCCCTGAGCCTGCGCTTTTCCAGGCTGAAGAGCCCCATAGATCTCAGCTTTTCTTCGTAAGGTCTCTTTTCCTGACCTCTGATCATACGCATGGTTCTTCTCTGGACTCTCTGAAGCTTCTTCACTTCCTTTTTGAATTGTAAAGCCTAAAACTGAACGCAGTACTCCAGCTGCGGCCTCACCAAGGCCGAGTACAAGGGGAGAATGACATCCTGGGATTTGCTTGAGAAGCATCTATGGATGCAAGCCAGCATTTTGGTCGCTTTACTAACTGCATCATCACATTGAAAGCTC